GATGATAACCATTCTGACTGAAGTGAGATGGAATCTCAAAGTAGTTTTAATTTGTATTTCCTTGGTGGCTAAAGATGTTGAAGACTTTAAAAAAATATTTATTGGTGATTTGTATCACTTGAGAATTCATTCAGTTCCACAGCCCATTTTTTATTTTCTTGTTTAGTTTAAAAAAATTCTTTGTATATTCTGGATAGTAATCCTCTGTCATCTGTATAGCTGGCAAAGATTTCTCCCACTTTGTAGGCTGCCTCATCACTAGATTGCTTGACAGAAGCCTCTTAATTTCATGAGTTCCATTTATCAACTGTTATCTTTTTTTCTGAGATGTTGGAATCCTATTCATAAAGCCCTTATTTATGCCTGAATCTTGAAGAGTATTTACTCCCACTTTTTTCCTCTAGCAGTTTCAAAGTTTAGGGTCTTATATTGAAGTCTTTGATCCATTTAGGCTTGGGAGGCATACGTGTGTGTGTGTGTGTGTGTGTGTGTGTGTGTGTGTGTGTGTGTGGACTTACATGCTGCAGCAAGTTTATGGTGGTCAGAGAACAATTTTGTGGAGTTGGTTCTCTCTTTCCACCTTGATGTATGTGTGTTCCAGGGATTGAGCTTGGGTCATAAGGCTCACACAGCAATCTTGCCAGCCCCTGGGCTTGAGTTTTTATTTATTTATTTTTTTGACACAGGGTTTCCCTGTAGCCCCAACTTGCCTGTAACTCACTTTGTAGACCAGGCTAGCTTCAATCTCACAGAGATTCACCTGCCTCTGCCTCCTGAGTGCTGGGATTAAAGGCGTGTGCCACAGCACTTGGCTTGGACTTAATTTTTGTATGGGGTTGAAGATCTAGTTTCATTCTTCTACAGGAAGATATTCAATTTTCCCAGCACCATTTATTGAAGATGTTGTCTCCCCCGACACCCCCATGATTATTTTTATCAAAAATCATGTGGTTGTAGTTGTGTGGATTTATACCTGGGGCTTTGGGTCTTTATATCTTATCTTTAGAGACATGGTTCAATGGTTAGGAGTACTGCTCTAGCAGAGGACCTGGTTTGGTTCCCATATCAGGAAATCAACAACCATCTATAATTCCAGCTTCAGGGGATCCGAATCTCTCTGGGCTCAGCATGTACCTTCACTCATGTGCCCATATCCTCCCTCACAAATATAAATATATAAAAACTTTATCTGGGTCTTATATTTTACTCCATTGATCTATGTGTCTGTTTTTGTGCCAGTACCCCACTATTTTTATTATTAAGGCTATGTAGTACAGCTTGAAATCAGGTATGGTGATACCTCCAGCACTATTCTTTTTGTTTAGGACTGCTTTGGCTACCCAGGGTCTTTTGTGCCTCCATATGATTTTGAGATTGTTTTTCTATTTCTGCCAAGAATGGTGTTGGAATTTTGATGGGGATTGCACTGAATCTGTAGATGCTTTTGGTAGGATGGCCAATTTTTTTTTGACAGGGTCTCCCTAGCCCCAGCCCACCTGGAATTCGCTATGTAGATCAGGCTAGCCTCAGTCTCATAGGGATCTACCTGCCTCTGCTTTCCGGGTACTGGGATTAAAGGGGTTTGCCACCATGTCTGGTGGATTGCAATTTTTATAATATTAATTCTTCTGATCCATGAGTATGGGAGGTCTTTCCATCTTCTAGTGTCTTCCTTGATTTCTTTCTTCAGTGTTTTAAAGTTTCAATTGTACAAGTCTTTCACCTCCTTGGTTAGGTTTATTCTAATTAAAAAAATAGAAACCTTTAATTTTTTTTTTAAATTTATGGGGCTGGAGAGATGGCTCAGCAGTTAAGAAAACTGGTAATTCTTTCAAATAACATGGGTTTGAATCCCAGTACCCACATGGCAGCTAACAACTGTCTGTAACTCCAGTCCCAGGGGATCCAAGTACCTCTTCTGACCTCCACAGGCACTGCAGGACATGGGTGCACTTACCTACATGCAGGCAATACACACATACACATAAAATAAAATAGAAATAAAATTTAAAAAATTTATTCATTTTTATTATGTTTATTTTATATGTATGAATGTATTGCCTGCATGCATGTAAGTGCATCTGTGTCATGCAATGTCCATGGCAGTCAGAAGTGGGTGTGAAGATTCCCCTGGAACTGGAGTTATGAATGGTAGTTAGCTGCCACGTGAGTGCTGGGAATTGAACTTGGGTCCTCTGAAAAAGCAGCCAGTGCTCTTAACTTCTGAGCCATGTCTCCAGGCCCCAAATTTAATTTTTTTTAGACTACTGTGAAGGAGATTGTTCCCTTGACTTATTCTTAATATGTTTATCACTGGTGTCTAAGGAAGGCTATTGATTCTTGTTTGTTTTGTTTCCTGACACTTTGCTGAAAGTGTTTATCAGCTCTAGGAGTTTTTGGTGGAATCTTTAGGGTCTCTTCATCATGTACAAATAAAGAGACTTCCTTTTCTGTTTGCATACCTTTTATTTCCTTCTGTTTTCTTATTGCTGGAGCTAAGACTTCAAGCACTCTATTGAAGAAGAATGGCAGGAATGGACATCCTTGTCCTGTTACTGATCTTAGTGTGATCATGATGCTGGCTGTGGGCTTGTATGTTTTGAGATGTTCCTTCCATCCTTGGTCTTTCCAGGGCGTTCTATCATGAAGAGATGTGCATTTTGTCAAAGGTCTTCTCTGTATCTATTAAGATGATGTAATTTTTCTCTTTGAGTCCATTTATGTGATGAATTAAATTTATCTATTTACGCCAGGTGCTGTGGTACATGCCTTTAATTCCAGCATTTTGGAGGCAAGAGGCAAGTGGATCTCTGTGAGTTCAAGGCCAGTTTGGTTTACATAATGAGTTCCAGGCCAGCTGGGGCTACAGGGAGACCCTGTCTCAAAGGAGGCCAAAAAAAAAATTATTGATTTACAAATGTTGAACCATTCCTGAATCTGTCATGAAGCCAAGCTGATCATGAGAATATTTTTTAATGTGATCTTAAATTTGGTTTAATAGTATTTTGTTAAGAATTTTTGCATCTATGCATTGATCTATAATTATTTTGTTGTGTCTTCATCTGGTTTTGGTATCAGCAAATACTGGCTTCACACACATAAAAATAGTTGGGAAGTGTTTCTTTTCTATTTAACAGAATAATTTGAGAAGCAATGGCTTTAGTTCTTTAAGGGTCTGTAGAATTCTGCCATGACTCCATCTGGACCCGAGGTTTTCTTTCTGTTGTGTTGCTGTTGCTGCTTCTTAAGATCAGAGAGTTTTTAATTATTGCTTTGATCTCATTGCTTGTTATAGATTCCTTTAAGTTTATCTCATCTTGGCTTAATTTTGGTAGGCATATGCAGCTAGAAACTCCTCTATTTCTTTTAGATTTTTTCCAATTTACTGCAATATAGGTTTTAAAAATATATCATGATTTTCTGCATGTCATTGGTATCTGCTCTAATGTCTTTTTTTTTCATCCCTAATTTCCTTAATATGGGTGTTATCTCATTTTCTTTTGGTTAATTTGGGTAAAGATTTGTCAGTCTTGTTTATTTGTTCAAAATTAACTAATTTCATTGATACTTTTTATTTATTTTTCATTTCTATTTCATTAATTTCTGCCCTGATTTTAATTTTTTTTTCTTTTTGAGACAGGGTCTCTCTGTAGTGTAGCTCCAGCTGTCCTGAACTCGCTATGTAGACCAGGCTGGCCTCAAACTCACAAAGATCTGCCTGCCTCTACCTCCCAAGTGCTGGGATTAAAGGCGTGCACCACCATGCCTGGCTGATTTTAATTATTTTTATGAATTCCTTTTGGGTTTGGTTTGTTTTTGTTTCTCTAAGGCCCTAAGGGGCATTATTATTTATTTGAGATTGCTTTGATTCTGTAATGTATGCACTTAATGCCATAAACTTTCCTTTTAGGATTGTCTTCATTGTATGCTACAGATTTGGTATGTTGTGTCTTCATTTTCATATAAATTCCAGGAATTAAAAAAATTTCCTTCTTGATTTTGTCACTGACTCATCATTCAAGTGCTGTTTATGCTCCACAAATTTGCATTATTTTCTGCAGCTTCTTTACTTGTGAATTTTAGCTTTATTCCATTGTGACAAGAAATTATTTCAATTTTCCTAAATTTGTTGTAACTTGATTTGTGTCCCAATTTATGATTTAGAGAATGTTCCATTGTCTGCTGACAACAATGTATGTGCTGCAGTGTTTGGGTGGAATGTTCTGCTAGGTTCATGTGATCTATGGTGTTAAACTCAATGTTCCTCAGTTTATGGTTTGTCTGGATGATCTGTCCACTTATGAGCATGGGCCATTGAAGTTACCCACTCCTACTGTGTTGGGGCATCAGTTTACAGCTATGATGGCTGGGGAGAATTTCAGTGAACAGTTGTCACCAAGAATCCCTTTGAGGTAGAAATTCACTTGTGGTGTGGCTTTTGTAGGATATTAGATAAGATAGAGAAGGCAGTTGGTTGGGCTGGAGTGGTCATCACAGCACTGAGCACCAACTCATGCTGGGGAGAAAAGTTCATTGGTGTGATGAGCAAGTGTCTGTCAGTGTATCATTATAGGAGTAGGTTGGCTGGGTGGTGCAACAGTCCTAGTCCCTCTGTTTGTTAATCTGCCACTCATTCAGACATGGTTTCTACCCAATAGATAGTATTTATTGCTAATAATAAAGTTCAAGTTTTGAAGCCAAAATTAGAATTTTAGACCCATATCCTACCTTGATTAAGTTTGATAGTGCCCCAATAAAGACTTCTCTGATGAGGTCAGTGGTGATACTAATAAATCTGACTTATTGATATTCTATGCTGTATTACTTTTCTCATTGTTATGATAAAACACCTGACAACTTAAGGAAGGAAAGGCTTATTCTGGTTCAGTCTGAGGGTACAGCCCATCATGGTGGGGAAGGCATAGTGGCAAGAGAGTGAGGCAGCTGGTCACATTGCATTCATAGTGAAGAAGCAGAGAGATGAATTAACAGTGTCCCACTTACTTTCTCCTTTTTATTCATTTCAGGATCTAAGCCCACTGGATCAGGCCACCCACAGGGTGGGTCTTCCCTCTTCAGTTAAAACTTTCTGGAAACACCCTCATAGACACAAACAGAAGTGTTTTCCATAGTGATTTCCAAACACAGCCAAGTTGACAAGATTAAACATTACATATAACAAAGTAAGTGAACATTTGCAAGAGCTGTACATAACAGTGGAGCAACATTTTCCAATGTCCAATTCATGATGATACAAAATCATGCATTTGAGTAAATGTAAGTGAAGATCTATTCAACATGTAGGATGGACCAATGAGCATCAACGTAGCAGATAGAAAGTTTATTGGTATGGCTTTAGATTTCATAGAACAAATGACCTTTAAGAAACTACTTCTTTGTGTAGAGAATAAGAGGCTGCACAGTGATTATCAAACTTGTATCAAACTTCTGTCTTCAAAGCTCAGGGATCATTATGGTAGAGGTGGTGGAGATATTGTAAGAGCCAGAGGTAGCAGAGAACTGCAAGAAAAGTTTTCCAAACAGTTGGGAAATTACTCATATGAATTCACAGCAATGGTGACAGCATGCACAAGTGCCATGTAAGCTCAAACCAAATTCCAGTATAGACATGGGGAAGTAGGTAAGACACCCTAATCCTACCTGAGGAACTAGCTGGGAAAGGGAGAATCAGTCTCATTTAAGGATGAGACTCTTGGTAGGTTAACTAGGTTCCAGTAGATGGATCTACACCAACGAGTAGATAGAAATTGGGCAGGGGGTAGTAAGGGGAGGTACAGATAGCAGACGGAATCTAAGTACGATAAAAATATATTGTATGGAATTGGCAAAATTCAATAAAAAAGGGGGAAAAAAGAAAAACACACTTTTATTCATTTTAAGTTACTTTCAACATCTGACGTTGGACATTCAATGCACTGTATCTGCTACTGGAATCTTGTTGTAAATAACTTAAAAAAAAGAAACTACTGTTAGGCATAGTGGTGCATGCCTTTAATCCCAGCACTCAGGAGGCAGAGGCAGGTGGATCTCTGTGAGTTCAAGGCCAGCCTGGTCTACATACTGAGCTCCAGGCCAGCTGGGGCTACAGGGAGACCCTGTCTCAGAAAGACATTAAATAAATAAACAAAGAAACAAACAAATAACAGGAAAGAGAAATTAAGCACACAAATTCAATGAAGCAAGCATGAGAGGAGAGAGACAAAGGAGTCCCAGATGAGTGAAAAAAGGACAGCAAAAAATTTTAATTGCTCCCTCCCTCCCTCCTTCCCTCCCTCCTCCCTCCCTCTCTCCCTCCCTCCCTCCCTCCTTCCGTGTGTGTATCTCATGGCATTTGTGTGGAGGTCAAAGGAAAACTTTCAAGAGTCAGTTCTTTCCTTCCACCATGTGGGTTCTAGGGATCAAAATTCAGGTTGTCAGACATAGCAAGTACCCTTAACCCATTGTCATCTGGCCAACCCTGTTTATATAATCAAACTATAAATATTAAAAAAACAGTATTGCTCTGAAGAGTTCAGAAGATGTGAGGATACTGCTGTAGTCTATTAAGTCTGATATTAAGGTGTAAAACTTAATGCTTGGAAGAACATTTTTTTTTAAAGTATGTTGACAGCAGTTAACACTAATTGGACTCAGTGGGTTACAAAAAAAAAGGGGAGTGAACATGAGGTGGGAAGGGGATGTATTAGACATACTGCGGGGGGGGGAGTGGGACAGGGGAGTTGAGGGTATGTATGATTAAGATATATTGTATACATAATATGAAATTGCCAAAGAATAAATAAAAGAGGGTTGGAGAAATGATTCAGTGGTTAGGAACGCTTGCTATTCTTGCAGAGGACCTGGGTTCAGTTCCCAGAACCTACATGGTGGCTAATAACTATTTGTAGCTCCAGTTCAAGAGGATCCTATGCCCTCTTCTGCCTCTGTGGGCACTGTGTACACATGGTGCTTTTACATATATGCAGGCAAAACACTCATACACATAAAACACAAATAAATAAATTTTTTAAAAGGAATAAGTAAAAGATGTTCTTAAAAAGTATGTTAACATGTGATATGTTTATATGTTATTTAAATTTTTTTTCTAAAATTTTAAGTTTTAATTTCCACCATAGGAAATATTGAAGACAAGCATAAAAGTCCTGGAGTCTTCAGCAAATTTAAGAGCATAAAAACTTAGAACCAAGCCAGATGTGGTGGCACATGCCTTTAGTCCCAGCACTCAGGAGGCAAAGGCAGGTGGATCTCTGTGAGTTCAAGGCCAGCCTGGTTTACATAGGCTAGCTGGGGCTTCATCTCTGCAGTGTTTTTTTTTTTTAAATTTTCCCCCGACTTTTAGAGACAGGGTTTCTCTGTAGCTCCAGCTGACTTGGAATTCGCGATAGCCGACTCAGATCTCTATGAGATAGAATGCCTCTGCGTCCCAAGGGCTGGGATCAAAGGTGTGCGCCACTATATCCAGCTAGAACCACAATTCTAAAGCAATTTATCTGTATGTATTTGCTTGAAATTCATTAGGGTCCGCATACACAATTAAGATATATGTTAATTTGTAGATGTTAGTTAAATAGAGATTCACTTAATCTAAAAACATCTAGACAGACTCTCATACAGCCCAAGCTGGCCTCGAACTGGCTATGTAGCTATGACCTTACCACTACTGGGATTTCAGGCGAGGGTCACTGCAATCCATGCATGCAGTACTCAAGATGGAACACAGGACCTTCTGCATGTTAGGCACGCAACACACACTACATATTCAGCTACATCCCAGGGATTACAAGCATGTGCCACCACGCCTGTGATAATCTTACTCAAACGTCTTCTTAAAATGTCTACATTCAGAGTTTCAAAACAATCTCTGAACCAGTTTTATCTTCTTCGGTAAATTTTTCATTTATCCTTCGTCAAGCGTCAATCTGTATGTATGCACATGTACACACACATATATCATAAATACAGATACAGACATACATTTCACAATGTCATACTACATTCTTTATTCGTCACTGAGCTTTTCACACTTTTCTTGTCCTTTCAAGTCACTCATAGCTCTGTTAGTAACAGGAATTCTAACACAACCCTAGAGCATGCATTTTCCTTTCTTTGGCCCACTAACAAAATTTGGCTGCCCTCATTTAAACAAGCTGTTCCTGATACCTGGGCAGGAATTCAATTCCAAAAGGAGAAAGGCTCCCTAGACCACGTGACACCGCCTAGGGTGAACACGGAACGTTGCCCTCACCTCAACGCTTCTTCCCGCTTCCAACATGGCAGTCCGACATCCTCGTACCGCAACTATAGGTGTTCTTGAGTGTAGAAACCACGCTGGGGTACATTTGGGGCTCTTTTAGCGAGGTGTGGCCGCGGGAAAGTCCTAGCAGGGCAGCTCGGACGGCAGCTGGGCTCCCGCCGGTCAGAATCAGAGAGGACCGGAAGTTCCGTGTCTTTGCTGTCCGGGGAAGCCGTTAGGCACGCACACCGGAAGTGGTCCATCGGCTGGAGTGAGGCAGTGTCCGCGGTGTGAGCGTTCCTCAGGCAGCGGAGCCATGGAGCCGGGGACTGCTGAACTTTACGACCAGGCCCTGCTGGGTATCCTGCAGCACGTGGGCAATGTCCAGGACTTTCTCCGCGCGCTCTTCGGTTTCCTCTACCGCAAGACAGACTTCTACCGCCTGCTGCGCCACCCTTCGGACCGCATGGGCTTCCCGCCCGGAGCTGCGCAGGCCCTGGTGCTGCAGGTGAGGCGGGGACCCGCGGGCCTTTGGCGTCCTGCGGGTCGTCGTCCCAACCACGCTCTCGGGCGCCCGACGTGTTCCTGGCCGGCATCTTGAGGGCTCGCGAATCCAGCTCCCAGCCCCCCAGATTTTTCTGTTGTCCCCTGGGATCGCAACAGTGATCCTGTGCGAAAGGCCAGACGTTATCTGAGCGCAGATCGGATGTCAGGGCTCGGTTTTGTGCGGCTAGTCCCTAGGTGTTGGAGGTATTGGAAGCAGCCAGCCTGTTAGGGAGAGCCTCTCGGCGCGCAGCGGGCATGCTTGGCCCCGTGCTGCGGGTTGCTAGGTTGTATTCAAACCGTGCAGACTGGAGGAAAGGAAAGACATTCACAGCAGCAGAAACTTGGTTATCAGAACTACCAGACTCTGGAGGTGGCAGGAATGACGGGTGTTGTTGGGTTGGGTGTGGCCACTTGTCAGAGGTACCTTACTAAGTCCAACACAATCGAACGCAATATGATTACATTTGGACTTAAATCTATACATCGAAGGTTAAATTTATTGTGTTTGAAGCCCAATTAATACTGAAGTTGGCTGGGCACCTTTTTGTTTTGTTTTTGTTTCTTCAGACAAGGTCTGACTGGGTAACCATGGTCTGCCTGGAATTCAGCATTGTAGACCAAGTTATCTTCGAACTTGTGATCTTCCAGCCTCTGCCTCTCCGGTGCTGGGATTGCTGGGATTACAAGTGTGTGTCATCACAACTGGCTGACTGGGCAGTTTTGAATGTAGTAATAAGCAAACATTCACTAAATATATTTTACATTCACAGTTGCTGTAGGCTCTAGTATTGTGGGTATTTAAATTGTCTGTCTACTCAGGACACTTCTATAAGAGAAAAAGCCACAGAAGGTGGTAGAGAACTCTGCAAGTTCTCTGTATGGTAGAACTGTTTGAAAGGAGAGGAATAGAAAGGATGGATAATAAATTGAGGAAGTTCTGTAGGAGAGGTGAGACTTTGGATGAGATTGGAAGTACTCAGTGGAGCATGAAGCGAGTCTGTAGGAATCTGAGATGTTATCTAGCACCTATGAAGTGCTTCATGTTACCTTCTGAAGTCTTACTCCATGCTGTGGGATTATGGGATGTTATTTTCCTCAGTGCCTACAGGAGGAAACCAAAGGTTAGCATTGCTCTAGTAAATATCAACAAAGTGATAGGTGGGGAGTGGGGTGGTGTTCCACTCAAGTTCCATTTCAGAACTGAAGTCTTCTCATCCTTGCTCAGTGGCCCAAGTGCCATTTGAGTAGTTGGTGAGTGTGGCTAAAATGAGACTTTATGTTACTTTAATGAAATCTTGCCACTTTGTCTTCTGCAAAACAGGTAAGGTTAAATTTTACATATCAGTTTAATAAGGTTAAATATTGTGACAAGAACCTTGGCTAGTTCTTCATGAAACTGGAACTCACAGCTTCATTTTCTGATTATAAATCTTTTCTGTCATAGTGGTCTTTCCATAGTAGGGTGAGAACTTTTGTTTTGATTGTAGAAAGATTTGGAGGCCAAAGGAACATTTCCTGAGAGTCTAGTATGTGCCAGTAGCCGGTATTTGACATTCTGGTATAATCTTATTTTCCCCTTAACCCAGTTTGAGAGCTTAGTCCTTGTTTCATTGATACACTGACAAAGATAATGCATTTATTTATCTGGTAACTTCCATAAAACACCCCTTAAAGCTTAAGACACCCTGAGGTGTCTGTTTAAGATTTGGTGAGCAGTCTATTGAAGTGGGTGGAGGTAGGGAGCAGGAACAAAGGAAGGGGAAGGATGAATCAAAAGGATCCAAGGTTTCAGATTTGGGTGACTGGAACACTGACAGTATTAACTGTACTGTCACTTGGATTTAGGTGGGAAAAGTTTAGACAAGTTGAATTTGAGATTGCAGACAGAAGTTATGGCCGTAGGCTATTGGAATCATTGAACTGGACCTTGCAGGAGATGGAGGAACTGGTGAGGTCTGAGGGAAAGAAAAGAGCTCAAAGTAGAGGACACCTTGGGGGAAGTCACAGTGAAGGGCAATTTACTGAAACCAAGAGCAATCTCTAGCACAGGGTTAAGAGGCTTTTTGTTTGTTTTTTATTTTCTCACCCCCCCCCCAAGAGCTTCTCAACCATCAGCATTGACCAAGAAACTTTTTTTTTTTTTGGTCTTTTTGAGATGGGGTTGCTCAGTAGCCCCAGCTGGCCTGGAACTCACTGTGTAGACCAGGCTGGCCTGGAACTCACAGAGATCCACCTGCCTCTGCCTCTGGAGTGCTGGGATTAAAGGCATGTGGCACCATGCCTTGCTTGACCTAGAAACTTTTAAAAGTATGTATTTCTTGAATATTTTTTGGCGATGGGGACTCTCTAGCCTGGAACTATGTGGAACTAGACCACACTGGCCTCAAACTCAAAGAGATCCATCTGCCTATCAAGTGCTGGAATTAAAGGTGTGTGCCACCATACTCAGCTCTTGAATATTTTTGTTGGGTAGATCATAATGAGTCTTGGGGACCTGCTATTATTATTATTATTAAACGGAAGACCTTTTGGCAAGAGACTTATAAGGTGATTTCAGTATTGACAAGGGTTTTACTATGGAGTGTGATATTAAAGTCAAGTCAAATAGAGTGACTTGGTAACACAAAGCATTCTGTCATCCTTATTCATCTGCTTTTCTGCTCCTGATTCATTGAACCTAAGATTCCTTCCTGTGGCTCTCTCACTCACAGTGGGATCTCTGGGGTATCTTTGAATGTAGGCAGTGAGGGTTCTGATGTATTCTTCTGGAACTTGAGAGCTTTCACCTGATATTTTGGGAAGTGGACTGTTGGTGTAGTTGGTTGGTTTAACGTATCATGCATTTTTCCTTCTAAAGGATTACAGTAGGAATGAAGTATGTGAAAATTTTGTTCTGTTCTAGTATAAGAATGTTTTAAGGGGGCTGGAGAGATGGCTCAGTGTTTAAGAGCACTGACTACTCTTGCTAGAGGACCCGGGTTCGAGTCCCAGCACCCACAGGGCAGCTACGAACCATCCTTAACTCCAGTTCCAGGGGAATCTGACGCCTTCTTCTGAACTCTGCAGCATTGCACAACACTGGTGCACTCACACACATGCAGGCAATACACTCGTATACATAAAAATAATAAAACATTAAAAAGAATGTTTTAAGAAAAAAATAGTTTAGTTGGACATGTCATTTATTACAGCTGCTAACTTCATGTTTATCCTAGAATTCAGTGTGAGAAACAGTGCTATTGAAAATCTACTAGGAGAATTAGGAAGACAGCTGTATTTTGGTCCTCTTATAACTTCTCTCTAGACAGCCAGGAAAGCTTATTGAAGGTCATAGACATCTATTCCAATCCAGGAATCCGTGACTCTGGGATGAGTGCTGAGAACACATGGCAGCTGGGAGCTCTTGGGTGACTTGAGAGGACTGGGTGGTACAGATTGGGAGGTCAAAGAGGTTGAGTATGCTGAGCAGCAAAGGCCTTAGGAAGGATGAGGACCATCAGGCCTTGGTATTGGGCAGTCCTGTGTTAGAAGTCTTAGGTTATGGAAGACAGTACTTATTGTTTTGTTTTTGGAGTTAAGATGAAGATCCACAGTGTTGGAGGTAGAATGGTTTTGAGGACAAATCACTTGAAGACTTGTTAGCATGGGTGTTGGAGAGAAGCAAGTAAATTTTTCAGGTTATCTGCAGAGTAGAAATGACTCTAGGTTTCAGTTTTAAGTTTTGATTTTTTTTTTATGTGTATGAGTGTTTTGCCTGTATGTATACAAGTACAATCATGTTGTGCAGTGCTCACAGAGGCCAGAAGAGGGGTGTTGGATCCCTCGGAACTAGAGTTACAGGTGTTTTTTAACTACCACGTGGGTGCTGGGAACCAACCCTGGGTCCTCTGCAAGAACAGCCAGTGCTCTTAACTGCTGAGCCATCTCTCCAGACCCTAGGCTTCAGTTTTTAACCTTTTAGAATTTTATTTTCTTCTGGCTACATTGTGTTTCACTATTTGTTTTGTCCTATATAATTTTTCACTCTCTCCTTTCACTGACAGGATTATGGGCAAATTTGGAATGTTGATGGTCTTCTCTGCAAGAATTTTTTTTTTCTTTCCTTTTTTTTTGGGGGGGGTTCTTTTTGAGACAGGGTTTCCCTGTAGCCCCAGCTGTCCTGGAACTCACAGAGATCCACCTGCCTCTGCCTCCCGAGTGTTAGGATTAAAGGCGTGTGCCACCATGCCCGGCTTTTTGTGGTCCTTTTGAGACATGGTCACTCTGTAGCTCCAGCTGGCCTGGAACTTACCATGTAGACCATTCTGGCAGAGATCCTCCTACCTCTGCCTCCCCAGTACTGGGATTAAAGGCATGTACCACCACACCTGGCTTTTTGTGAGAATTTTGAGTGTTCTTAGAAACATGTAGTACAGTTAGTATGCTAGCACCTGTCTTTTGTTGTCTTCTCTGCAGTGCACAGGCTGGGTTAATAAATGCCTGCTGTGTTCTAGCTCTTTGGAGTTGGTGATTCCCACCCATTTCCCAGGTTAGTCCCTTAAGTCATTTTGCCCTCTACCTAGTTAGTGTAGAAGTTCTTTAAAGAAAAAAATTATTTATTTTTATTTTATGTGTATGAGTATTTTGCCTGCACGTATGTCAGTGTACCTGTGTTGCGCAGTGCCCATGGAGGCCAGAAGTAGGTGTTGGAGTTCCTGGAACTGGAGTTACAGACAGTTGTTAGCTGCCACATGGGTGCTAGGAACTGAACCCAAGTCCTCTGCAAGGCAGCCAGTGCTCTTAACCGCTGAGCCATCTCTCCAGCCTTTGTTCAGAGGTTCTTGTTCTTGCTGTTTCTTTATGACCCTACCTTCAGTGGCCCCATGGAAAATGCACCTCTTCTTTAAGGTCCAGTTGAGATCCTGATCTTCCTCTGCAGATTTCTTTCCACAGAAACCTACATTATAGTCTATTATAGTCTGTGACAAGGCATTGAGGGTGTTATAATACCCCTCTTGAGCCAGAGTTCTAGCACTATGAGGCTGTACTTTTCTTTTACTCTATAGTGCTGAGGATTGAACACATGTCTTGCTCATGATTAAGCAAGCACTCCACCATGGACCTACATCCCCAGCCTTTTAACTGAACCTTTTAAATTAATCAATTAATTAATCTGTTTATTTGTTATTTCTGCGGGAGGGTCTTACTACATAGCCTTGGCTGGCCTGGAACTTGCTACATTGACCAGGCTGACCTTGAACTCACAGAGATTCGCTTGCTTCTGCTTCCCGAGTGCTTGGTATTAAAGGCATGTGCCACCATGCCCAGCTAACAGAACCTTTATAAACAATTATTTATTTATTTATTTTGGGGGCTGGAGAGATGGCTCAGCAGTTAAGAACACTGACTACTTTTGCAGAGGAGCCAGGTTCAATTCCCAGCACCCACATGGCAGCTACGAACCATCCTTAACTCCAGTTCTGAGGGAATCTGAAATCCTCTTCTGACCTCTGTGGCATTGCACGACACGGAGTGCCCTCGCTTACATGCAGGCAATACACTCATACACATAAGATAAAAATAAAATATTTTTAAATTTTTATTTTTATTTTTATTTTATGTGTATGAGTGTTATGCCTGCATGTATGTAAGTGCACGTGTGTTGTGCAGTGCCCTCGTGGGACAGAAGAGGGTGCCGGAACTTCTGGAATTGGAGTTAACAGATGGTTGTTAGCCACCATGTGAGTGGTGGGATTCAAACTATGGTCTTCTGCAAAAACAGCCAGTTCTCTGAACTGCTGAGCCATCTCTCTAGTCCTAACTGAACCTTTTTCTTTTAAATTAAAAAAAATATTTATTTTATTATTATTTTTTTTATGTGTATGAATCACTCATGGAGATCAGAAGAGGGCATCAGATTCCCTGGAACTGGTCTAGGGGACAGTTGTTAGCCGCCATGTGGGTGCTGGGAATCTAACCTGGTTCCTCTGCAAGAGCAGTCAGTGCTCTTAACCGCTGAGCTATCTCTCCAGCCCCTTATTATTTTTGTTTTATGTGTATGCATGTATTGCCTGCATGTAGGTAAGTGCACCTGTGCTGTGTGTGCAGTGCCCATGGAAGTCAGAAGAGGCTGTCGGATCCCCTGGGACTGGAGTTATGGACAATTGTTAGCTGCCATGTGGGTGCTGCAAGAACAACCAATGTTCTTAACAGTTGAGCCATCTTTCCAACCCCCTAACTGAACCTTGTTAATAGAGAGGTCCCAGCACCTTCATGGATGTGACTGTGTCCCAGAAAAGGTTAAGGGTTTGTTCACATGGTCTTGGGCAATGCTAGATTAGAAGTCTTGAGTGATGGGAGAGAGTTCTTACTGTTTTACTTTTTGGAGTTTCTATCTCTTGCATAATATAAGCATAGAATGGGTGTTTGTGGAATTGGGTGCCCATACCTCCCCTCAGCCTTCACTGTACAAAGGGTAGCAGTAGTCTGGTAAGTATCAGTGTATTTTATGGATTGAAGTTCAGTTACAGTCTCATCTTTAATTTTTGAGTCAGAATTGTTGGAACCTCATAAATTCATAGTACAAGGACAGTGTGTTTGTGTTATTTGCATTATGAGCAAGATTGAGGCCAGTAAAAGTAATGACAACTAAGCCTGCTAACCTTACATCTTGTGGTATATAAATATATTAGCTTTGGCTTGTTTTTGATTTTATTAATTTTGGAACCTTCCTAAGAAACAATAGTTTCCTATCAGCTTTTGATGAAGTTGTAATACATTTTTCTTTGCCTTACTACTGTTTAATTCTGTACCTAGTAGATTTTGCTGTGTGTCTATACAATGTATGGTCTAATACTGGGCAGATGAACTGATTATTGGATTGTTTGATTTTTAGGTCTTTAAAACATTTGATCACATGGCTCGCCAGGATGATGAGAAAAGAAGGAAGGAACTTGAAGAGAAAATCAAAAGAAAGGAGGAAGAGGCCAAGGCTATGGCAGCTACTGCAGCCGAGAAGGAAGCGGTCCCAGTCCCAGTTCAGGAAGTAGAGATAGATGCTACTGCAGAACTGAGTGGGCTTGGGGATGGAGAAAAGGTGGATCCCCCAGGCCCTCAGAACACTGAGCATAAAGTGGCCCGTGGCTTGGAGGAGGCCAAAGCTCCAGGAACAGTTAGCAGTGCTGCTGAAAGCCCTAAGGAGCCACCCAAGCTCCCCAGGTAAGAATTTCTTCTTGGCAGCTTCCTTCTTTCTCTGTTGGTAATTAAGTTTTCTTAGGATTGGTTTTAGCTTTGTATGGTTTGTAAAATACCAGTGCTTTTTTGGTGGGAAGGTATTTAAACTACAGGAATTTATTTTCTAATAGTTCTGAAGGCTGGAAATCCAAGATCAAAATATTGTCTGGTGTTTGTTCTAAGGCCTGTATTATAGGCTTGAGAACATCTATCTTATGGTGTCTTCATATGGTCTGTCCTCTGTGCTTGTCTGTGCTCTAATCTAGTTTCAACCAGCATCTCAAACACAGTATGCCAGACTGCCCTCCATCCAACTGGCTCAAGGTCCTTCTTTAGGAACTCACTTGTGAATTCCCTTACCTCACAGGACTTGCAGTCGGCTAAAATGTAGTTATTTATCTACTTATTTACTTACATATTTAGTATGTGTGCATATGTGTATATGCATTTGCCATGACACACGTGTTGGAGGTCAGAGGCCAACTTGTGGGAGTTGATTCTCTCCTTCCACCATGTGAGTTCCAAAGATCAAACTCAGGTTGTCAGGCCAGGTGGCAGGTACCTTTATCTGTTGAACCATCTTGTTGCCCCCTAAAACGTTATTTTGATAGGGTCTGAATCATTCATAGAACAAAAGTTGACTTGTTTGAAAAATTTCTGGGAAAATAATTTTTATTTCTGTCACAAAACTTTGTAAATTAGAACCCGACTTCTCTTGAGAGATGCAGTCGCTGTGTACATCCTCATTTAGGAACAAACCTTTCTCCAGCAGCTAAGTTCTCTTCAGCTGCCTAGCCTTTGCTCTATAGTGCTATTGCCCCAGCTCCAGACCCATTGCCACTTCTTTTTTTTGGTCTTTTTGAGACAGGGTCTCCCTGTAGCCGCAGCTGGCCTGGAACTCACTGTGTAGACCAGAGATCCACCTGGCTCTGCCTCCTAAGTGCTGGGACTAAAGGCATGTGCCACCACGCCCAGCTCTATCGGGACTTCTTTATCACAGCATTTATTTAGTGCTCTCTGTTGGCAAACTGCATTAACAGTTCTTTGCATATGTGGGAACTCATTTAACTTTAGTCTTCTTCCTTTTCCTCCCTTTAAGGTAAAGTTGTTTTTGTTTTTGTTTTGTTTTTTGGTATTTTTGAGACAGGGTTTCCCTGTAGCCCCAGCTGGCCTGGAACTTGCTATGTAGACCAAGCTAGCCTGAACTCACAGAGATTCGCCAAAGTTGTTTATAGTTATGCAGCCAGTTGAGGGCCAGAGCCTGAATTAGGGAACTTGTTGCTTTCCCAAAGACTTTGCTTTACCTGAGCATAGGCTAGGCATCTTGATTTTTTATTGTCAGTATTGGGCATTTAGCCTAGGACCGCACACATGCTAGACATGTGCTCCACCACTGAGCTACACCCTCAACCCTTTATTTTTTATGTTCTTCCTTCTTCAGGAACACTGCTGAAGTGTATGATCCCCAAAAGTACGATGTATACCTGAAGAGCAGTTTAACATAGGGGTCTAGATTCACATCCCGGCCCCACCACTTCTTAAGCATTCTACTGGGTATGCAATATAACTTCTCTGTGATCTTTACAAAACCCATCTTGTACAGTCAGGTAACTAATCAGTGGCAGAGCATGAGTATAAACAGGTTTCCCTATGTCAAACCTTGTGCTGTCCTTATTATATTCACTTTTCAGGAACTGTTTCCCAAGTGTACTAAGTGAGTCACATAACCCTGCAGTCTGAGAGGTGGTACCTCCTTGTGTGTGAATTGTGGCAGTGTCTATGGAACAACTGTGATCCTACCGGCTTGCTGTGTTTATAGGAACATCTACTCTTTCCTCTTTGATAGGTCTGCTGCTTTTACCTCCAACTTCTGTTCTTTTCTTCCGACTCCCTGCACTCTAAATCTGTTTTCTGAGAGCATTTATTTGAGTTTAGTTTCTGCTGAAGCAAAGTAGACAACTTGGAATGCTCTACAAAATACTGACTAGGCAAAAATAAATTTCGTAAAGATTGAATAGGGCAAGAGTGCAGTCTAGCTAAGCAATGGAGTTCAGAGAAAGCAGTTGTTGAATGGGTGAACCAAATTGATGGAGAAAGAAAGCAGGTCTTAAATACGGAATTCTGAAAGAAAAAACTGTGATAAGGGTTTGGAGTCCCAAAAGTTGAGGAGTAGGGTACAGGAGGATGTTTTGATGTGACTTTTAGAAGGTTGTTTTTAGGCGTTAAGCTATTTTTTTTTTTTTTTTTTTTAAAGATGTGCCTTCAGTACTGGGGCTAGTTTATCCTAACATAATCTTTTGGGGGCTAGTTCTTGAATATTGTAGAATGTACCTATTCAGCAAGGTCTTCTTGTAGGTGTGGTGGCTAATGCCTGTAATCCCAATATTTAGGAATAGAGACAGGAAGATCATTGCAAGTTAAAGTCTAGCTTAGAATACATAGAAAATACCAGGCCATCCTAGTCTACAAAGAGAGTACCAGGCCAATCTAGGCAGAGAACCTATCTCAAAATCAAAACAAACAAAACCCCACAATGTCAGTGGAGTGCAACAAAGCATGATTTGCCTGTATGCTTATAAAGTCATCTTAAAGATTGCTAGTATGGATATTGTGATAGGTTTATGTGTCAGTCTGGTAGGACTGAAGTCTCTAGTTACTCAAATACTTGGGCCAGGGTTGCTACAAAGGAATTTATAGATGTGGATAGGGTCTGTAATAAGCCAACTTTAAGCAGGGGAGATTGTCCTAGGAGATGTAAGTGGGCCTGATCAATCAGCTACAACTTTGCTAAAGCAGAAGAAATTTCTTCTTTGGACAGCATCTGCGTTCAGTTCCTGGAGGAGTTTACAGTGGCCTACCTTGTAGATTTTGGACTGGCATAGCCATCCCACATAGTTATGAAAATTTTGTGTTTTTTAAAATGTGTCCTTTTATATTTAGACTGTGTTTTCTGTGTGTGTGTGTGTGTGTGTGTGTGTGTGTGTGTGTGTGTGTGTTGGTGCACATGTGCCAGGGCACATGTGTGAAAGTCAGAAGACAAGTCATTCTCCCCTTCCACCATGTAGGTTCCAGGGATCAAACTCAGATCCCCAGGCTTGGTGGAATTGCCTGTACCTACTGGAGCCATCTCACTGACCTGCATGTAAATCTTTTCAGTATCTGTTGCTGGCTTTATTTTTCTAGTTGATCTGTTAATAGATACAGATATTTTCATGGTATAATTAATGTGAGAGAAAGGATTTATACTTTGTTGTTTAATGCCAAATTTGAAAAGCATGTAAAATTACATATACAGAAAGGAAAGCCTACAAATTATATCATTGATAGTGGTTATCACAGAGGGGTAGAATTAAGACTGTTTTAATTTTGTGTATGCATGTGTTTATGTGTATGCACATGCATGTGGAGGTCATCAGAAGACAGCCTTGATGTTGTTCTTCAGGTATCTTCAAGGTTTTTTGTTTGTTTTGTTTGCTTTTTGAGACAGGGTCTCACTGTGTAGCCCCAGCTGGCCTGGAACTCACCATGTAGACCAGACTGGCCTTGATCTCTCAAAGATCTGCCTCCCAAGTGCTGGAATTAAAGTTGTGTACCACCATGCCTAGTCATCTTCCAGTTTTTGTTTGAGACCAGGGTCTCTCATTAGCCTGGAACTTTGCCCAGTAGGCTATACTAGGTGGCTGGTGAACTTTCAGGGGTCCACTTATCTCTGCCTCCCAGGACTAGAATTACAAGTCTATGCCACCACTCCCCTCCCTCCCTCCCTCCCTTCTTCTTTCTTTTTTTTGTTTGTTTATGTGTATGAGTGTATCACCTGCATATATGTAAGTGCAACTATGTTGTGCAATGCCTGTGGAGGTCAGAAGAGGGCGTTGGAATTAGAGCTACAGGTGGTTGTTAGTTGCCACGTGGTACTGGGAATTGAACCTCGGTCCTCTGTAAGAACAGCCAGTACTCTTAACTACTGAGCCATTTCCCCAGAACCACTTTTTCTTTTTTTAACTAGGGTTCTGGGTTCAAACTCAGTTCTTCACACCTGTGAGGCAAGCACTTTACCAACTGAGCCATCTCCTCAGCCCCTCATTTTTTTATCTCATTATTTTTTTATATAATGAGCATATTTTGTTTTACTACTTTTTGTATTATTTCTTTTCTTTTAAGTATTTTATTTTTATTATTTTTATTTTATGTGTATGAGTGTATTGCCTGCATGTATGTGAGTACAGCGGTGTTGTGCAGTGCCGCGGAGGTGTGAAGGGGGCTTTGCATTCCCCTGGAATTGGAATTAAGGACAGTTCGTAGCCTCCATATGGGTGCTGGAAATCAAACTCAGGTCCTCTGCAAGAGCAGTCAGTGCTCTTAACTGCTGAGCCATCTCTCCAGCCCCTGTATTATAATTTCTAAAAAAACGTTTAAAGGATATTTATTTTTGATTTGAGTAATAGACTAGAATAAAGCCTTATTGTCTTATAGTGACTCTACTTTTTAATTCTTTTTCTTTTTTTGGTCTTTTTAAGACAGGGTCTCAAATCCAGCTGGCCTGGATTTGCTATGGAGACCAGGCTGGCCTTGAACTCAGAGATCCGCCTGCTTTTGCCTCCCAAGTGCTGGGACTAAAGGCATGCACCACCACACCTGGCTCCTGTACTTTTCGTAAGTTTAGAGTGAAGACTTGGATATGTTTCAGGAAACCAGTGTTGTTACATGCCTTTATTCTGGTCAGCTTATACTCCTACTATAAGAATCCTGATAGTTCAATACCTAGAACTGCAGCATTAGCCTTCAGTTACTGGTTTCCCATGAAATAAGTTGTGAGTCGAGGTACTAGTCTATAGCTGCATATCTGAAATGGAATGCAAGGGCTGTCCTTTTCCTTATTCCACCTGGAGCTGGACCCCACTTTCCTCTACCAGTGTCCATGGGAGTCGTGTAGATTTGCCATTTGCCAGTTGAAAAATCAAAGGAGTTATTCTTCAGATGACCAC